GGGAAGCTGAGACAGGAAGATCTCTTGAGCCCAGGGGGTGGAGGGCAGCCTGGGCAACGTAGTGAGAACGCGTCTTAAACAAATAAAAGTTTTAAAAAATTCTAGGAGGTTAAGTATTATAATCGGCCCATTTCACAGGTGAGACGATAGAGGCACATATGGGTTAAGCACTAGCCCAGAGTCATGGAGCTAGATTATCAGACCCTGTCTCCTTCACTAATGTCAGCAGCATAGCCTCAGAGCCTAGAACTGTGCCTGGCACACAGTGAACGCTCAATAAATGTTTGTTGATCTTTAAGAATTTATCTCCGCATTTCAGGGGGATGACTTGGGCCTGCGGTTGGATTCACAAGTCTCCCAATTCCGGCCTCCCAGTCTGGGAACGGTCCAGTCGCTCCTTCCCGGGCCATACTCCAAGGTTCCCTGGTCCGGAGTGCCGCTTGCCTCCGTAGGGGCGGGGTCTGGCTCGTTATGAGGCGGGACCAAGTCACTTCGTCTTCCTATTGGTGCTCCTCCTTTTGTGGGCGGGACAAATTGACAACGGCTTTCCCGATTTGCTGTCTCCCTGGCGGCCCGTGACCCGGACGCTCTCTGGGCCAACATGGCGGCGCCCAGCGGCAAGACCGAACCGGCCTGAAGTCCGCGGCTGGCCGCGAGAGTAGGTAGGTCGCGCGTGGGAAGGTGAACGCGAACTGCTGGTCTCTGGGGTGTCCCGTTCCTGGCCCGGCGGCGCGAGAAGTCGGCCCCAGAGGGACCTAGCTGCCGGGCCAGGGCGCCATGACCTTTTGTGGTGGAGGCGAGGACGTACCGGTGAAGGCCGCCCGCCTAGTGCCAGCTGCCTCACGGCCCTGATCTCCCATTTTGTAAATGAGACAACTGACTCAGAGAGGTTAAGGCCCTCGGCAGAGGTCACGCCGTAAGTCGGCAGCTAAGCGGGAATTGGAACCCGCGTCTGCCTGTTTCTCCCAAGGAAATCAGAATCCTGGCAGCCAGCCTCAGAGTTCGTGTACGTACACCCTCCCTCGGGGTTCAGATTTATAGATACTTTATAGCAATTTAGCACTTATTCCTATTCAATGGATACTTGTTGGGCACCTGCCATACACCAGGCACTGTCCCGGGTGCTAAAGACACAACGAGAAAGATAGACAAAATCCCCTATCTCCTGGGAGGCCAGACATTGAACAAGTCAGAAATAAGCGAAACAGGTGATTTCAGATACTGATAGTTGCTAAAAATGCATTAATGTGGATGATGAGGGGTTTTAGAATGCAGGGGAAGAGGAAGTGGTCAGAGAAGACCTCTCATTTGAATAGAGACCTGGATGACAACAGACAGCCATGGGCAGATCTGGAGGAAGACGGAAGGAAAAGCCAATGCAAAGGCTCTGAGACTGAAATAAACTTGGCTTCTTTCAGAGACAGTGTCACTGGAGCTGCCAGTGGTAGGACTTGAATTTAGAAGGTAGACCCTGTCTGATTTTAAGTGTGATAGCACTGATTTTAATTTACGTCTTTAAAATCTCTCTCTGGCCATGGTGGGGAGAACTTACTGGAGGCAGGAAGGACAGAAGTGGGAGGCTAGGTAAGTATCCAGGAAATAGGTCATAGATTGGGGTGGTGGCCTGCAGATGGAGAGAAAGGGGTGCATTTGGGAAGACATTGGAAGTGGTCACCAAGACTAGTTGATGGATTGAGTGAGAAAGTGAGGTACATAGTGCACTCAGAAATGACTTCTAAGTTTGTCGCCCAAATGACTAGTGATGGTGGTGCTATTGGCTAGGCTAGAGTAGAACAAGTTTAAGCAGGAATATCAATTTGGAGCAAATTAAGTTTGAGATGGCTGGGTATATGCCAAAATGGCAGTTAGGTGTGGAGGCTGGGGCTCAGGGCCGGAGATGAACACTGGGCATCCATCAGCACATCTCAGATCATCACTTCTCAGACTTTAACATACACAGGAGACACCAGGGACTCTTGCTAAAATGTAGATTCTAGGCTGGGCATGGTAATTCATGCCTATAATCCCAGCACTTTGGGAGGCTGAGGCAGGAGGATTGCTTGAGCACAGGAGTTTGAGATCAGCCTGGGCAACATAGTGAGATCTCATCTCTACAAAAAATTTTTAAAAATTAGCTGGGTGTGGTGGCATACACCTGTAGTCCCAGCACTCAGGAGGCTGAGGCGGGAGGATCATTTGAGCTCAGGAATTCGAGATTACAGTGAGCTATGACTGGGCCACTGCACTACAGCCTGGGTGATAGAGCAAGACCCTGTCCCTAAAAAAAAAAGAAGTAGAAGACCTGCCTACTGAAAACTGCATACAAAACATTACTGAGAGAAATTAAAGAAGACCTAAATAAATAGTGACATCCCATGTTCATGGATTACAAGATAATTTTATTCAGATATCAATAATTGATCTACAGATTCAACATAATCTCTGTCAGAATCCTAGCTGGCTTTTTCACAGAAATTGACAGCTGATTCTAAAATTTATATGTAATTGTGAGGGACCTAGAATAGCCAAAACAATCTTGAAAAAGAACAGGCCGAGTATGGTGGGTCACGCC